AACATGGGAGGTGTCTTGAAGACTGAGCTCATTACACTTCAGATTCCGTTTATGGATGACCCACGACTTGCCTGCTTTGCCTGGATCATATCGCAGAATATGGTAAAGGTGAAGCAAGATTTACATGGTTGCGATGACGCTACTCCAGCCTTCGGGAGTGCTATTACAGCGATACTACAGACTGTAGGATTCGATTTCTCATCTGATGATCCACTTCCCGATGTCTGGTATGATCTACTTTATCTCTCTCGCGATCACATTATCTCTCGTGCCGCTTTCGATCCAGAGAGGTTTGGTTACAAATATTGCACTGGCACTGAAGAGCACCGAGTCCGCTTACCTTCATCATCTATCCCGAGATTGTGTAACGGAGGACGCCCTCGATGGACTCCGGAATCCGATGATTTTCTGCCATCCGTACCTCGATTACCATTCACCATTGGCCAGTACATAGTGTCCAAGGCGAGGCGTGATGCAGCTGCGGCCCGTGCTCATTTTCAGCCATCTATTCCGACAGGCCACACCTCATCATCCACATCATCACACACTCATTCCGATCTGGAGCGCAGAGTTGAGAGACAGGGACGACGCTTTGAGCGCGTTGTCACCTTCTTACAGGAGCAGCACCAGTTCACAGACGACACTTCAGAGGATGAGTGATTGACCAGCACTTCACTACCATCACGGTTTTATCATCATTTTCTTTTCTTTTATCTTATTTTATCTTATTTTGCTTTTATTCACCATCTTCGCACCAACTTTTTCACACTGGGGACAGTGTGATTTAAGTCTGGGGGAGGATGTCTATCCGTACTAATTATTTTCCTGGCTTTGCTTTTAAATTTCAAGTACTTTTTAAATTTTAATATGTAACCTATTCGACATTAAGTATTTTTCAGGAATGTTTGACGCAAAACTATGATGATTTAGACCTGCACACTTCTACACTATGCATGATAGCTCATTTGTGGTTAGCACGAGACTAGGCGGTAGCTAGAGTACTTGCACTACGATCTCCCACCAGAGGAATTCTATTCATGGAGATTCTTTCTAACAGGATATACTAGCTCATTTTATTTGGACTTAATATTGATATCTAATTTTCTCATCATTGATTTTAGGCAGGCATCGACATACACATCTAGGACGTCTTTTACCATCACTTTTACCACTCTTTGTCGTCCAAGATGACCAGTTTATCTTTATCTGGTACCATACCTTAAACCCAAAACCTTTGTTTTCAATCCTCATGCATTCTTTCTTTAGTTTATATCAGCAGATATGTGCAAAAACGTCGGAGAGAAGAGGAGCGACGCAGTTTTCAGTCACTCGCAAAAGAGACTGAATCAGAAACATAATAAAGCTTTACAAGACAGATATTAACTGGTAAATTCGTGCTCTCTAAGACTCTATATCTAAAGGTGTTCCCTTTCTTTAAAAAAAAAAAAAAAAAAAAAAAAAAAAACAACGTGAAAAGAGAAAGGGAAACAAAAAGCCTAATGAGTCTTAGATTGTCGAAATTTATGGAGCAATGAGCAACCACTATTCGTTTAAGGCGCTATTGTTTTGAAAGATTTACAAAAATCTAAGTCTGGGGGAGTTTGGAGAGAACTTGAGGAAGAAGACCACGAATCTATGTTAAGAAGAAAGTGACTGAAAACTGTGGATACCAACAGCTTCACTCTCTCTTGCGGTTTTGCATAATGTCCTACATCCTCCAGATCTTCAGGTAACCATTAAACACTTTAAGCCATACCCCCAAATAATTTTTCTTTACACCTAGCCTAGATTGCCTTGCCTAGATTTTCTTTGATGAGAACCACCGAGATTTTTAATGAATGTTAAGAGCTAGTTGACTGGAAGTTAGATTTTAGTGCATAGATTTCTGCATGACGGATTAACGGACTAGTTATGCCTGTATTGCTAGTGAAAATTTTCTAGGCTATTCCCGATTGATGCATACTGATTGATATTGGTCTAGAAGTTTGGTCTCTGAAATTTTGTTTAGTTCCTGCGTTTTCAAACCTCTCGCCGAGATTTAGCCTTTGTTTTGTTTGAGGACAAACAAAAGACTAAGTCTGGGGGAGTTGATAACACCGGATTTTGACCATTTTTATGGATCATTTTAATATCTTTTACAGGTGTTTTTACTCCATTTTCAAAGGTTTTCAAAGGATTTCTATGTTTCCGGATTTTAAAATACTTTTCAGGTAATTTGGGATAAAGAGGCAAAATGGAACAAAAAGACTCTTTTGGATAAATGCAGACCGTCAGAACTCTCATGGAGAGACGAAGACCTTCTCACCGTCTGATCACCCTCAAAATTGGACAACTTATAGAAGAATCAACCAGCTTTCAAATTCACTTGGTTTGGAGACATTCCAACGGTTGGATCTCAAGATATTCCATTAGCCCCAGAGCCACGCGGAGTCGGCCAACAACTCACGCGACCGCGGCCAACAAGCTATTTGCCACGGTCAGAAGCTTCCCGACCGCGGCCAACAAGCCAATTGCCGCGGTCACAACACTCCCGACCGCGGCATTCAACCTCCGACTTAAAGCCCACTTATCTGAAGCCCAAAGTCATTCCCAACCTCAATTCTGGAACCCTAGAGACCATGGAGTATTGGAGACTATAAATACATGTCATTTAGGTCGTTTTTAGAGAGAGCTTTTCATACTTTACAGAAACCCTTTTCCTTTAGCCGTTTTTATGAGATTTTTGTAGAAGATTGTTCAAGTCCGAGTTCTTCAATAGAGAAGCTTTCTTTATCTCTTTTCTTTGGTGTTTTTCATTACTTTTACTAAAACCAATGATGATGTTGAACTCAGCCATGTCTGAGTAGATCCCGAGTTGGGCTTAGGGTTCCCGAAAGGGGCTCTCATAATCGATTAAGACATCTAGGTTTATAGATCTGGGATTTCGACCTGTTTTCTGTTTATTCTTGTTCTTATTGCATGTATGCTTGATTGATCACCTAGTATCTGATCTAGATAGTTAGTGTTGCGAAAGTTTTCATTAAATATCAGCCCTAGAATGAAACAGGCGATTTTTCCGTAGGAGTGGAAACCTACCTGCGGCGAGATCGTGAGTATTGACGAGTCTTGTGCAGCTCTTGCGTTCTCTCCCTTCCAGGGCCAGAGTGGAAACCTACTGGTCAGGGTTGCGAGAAACAGTTGGTTATGATCACGACAGTGACGTAGTCATACCGCCGTACTCTAGCTCTAGAACCCATATATTGTTATCCGTCAATCCCAATCTATCTACACTAATGTTAAAACCGATTATGATCCCTTAGAGTTCCCAAAAGCTCAGCGTTTTAGCCATAGTTTACAATTCCATCGATTTTTACTTGCTTTCTTAGACCTGCATTTCAATTTCCGTAGTTCATTATTTACTTGCTTTATTTACCTTTCATGCGATATTTTACTTGCCTTATTTTTGTTTAGTTCGATATTTTACTTATTCCATTTGCATTTCATTCGATTTTCTTTACCTGCTTTTTAGGATAGATTTATTTGCTTTCTTTTGTTTTAGTTTAATTCGCAAGAAAAACAACCAACCTTTAAAACCAATTTAGTCTAGACATAAAGTTAAAAACCGTAGAAGAATACCAGGCACACAAATCTCTGTGGATTCGATCCCTAAATACTACAACTGATTAGCTGTGCACTTGCGGCTTTCATTTGTTTTGTTAAGGGTAAAACTTGTTCCCTCACGTAGTTGACACGAGCACGCATCAAAATTCTCGGGTTTAGATGAATTCTAGTCTCATTCCGGACCCTTTGAAGATGTCGAACCAGATAAACTTTTAACTCTCTCTCTTCCGACATTCTGTGGGATATCCTCTTAAAAATCACTTCTCGGTCCTACCGTGGGATCTGCAAAGCAAGGGTTTTCTCCAAACATCTAAATGAGATTTCTAATGAAGAGGGTTTTTTAAGAGCCGTTGATCTAATAACTCTGACGATTCCATGGGTCTGGGATCAACATGGGAGGGTTGACACTTTCTTTCAGCGCTGTTTGGAGTGTAGAAATCCTACAGCGCAATACCTACGAGCCGTTTCTCTAATCTTCTATGAAGATAGCATCCAAGAAGGATTTGACTTAATAAAGGTGTCATCAAATGGAGGATGCCTCATGGCTACTTACTCCATGGTTATGTTCTCTTTAACCATGGATCGTAGCCATGATGTATTTAATCACATTCGTGGTATAGTTCCGGCAGAGGCAACGAAGATGAGGAAGACTATGCAGCACATAAACAGGTGTCCGACCACTTATAAGAAGCCTGACGCGTTTCACGAACCGGTCTTCCATGTTTTTGATAAGGCACAATCAAGGAGATGTGCTTGTATGAATCTGCCAAACCAGCACTGGATGGATGATGAAAGCCTCGTCGACTCATATATATGGTGACAATCTCTGCAGTCCTTGCTTTTGGAAGTTGGAATGTGCCATATTCTGGAAAACAATTCCTGGATTTGCAAATGAATGGCCGCGGAGAAATTAGTTGACTCCATGTTTTATGTTTTTTGGATTTACTTATATGTTTACATGACTATGATAGACTTCGTTTGTAGACTTATAATTCTTATTTTAACAAAACTTTTTCCGTGTACACTATCGGTGTACACTTTTTCCGTATACACTTTTCCGTATACTCTTTTCCGCATGTTCAATAATATTTTACAGGACTTAATCAGTTGTTAGGGTGAAATAAAAAATTATAAATACTAACATGTTAATGACTTAGTAGACTTCAGTACAATTACGATTACAACTTAGTAGACTTCAGTCAAAGACTTCAGTTTTAGTACAATATCCTAAACGAAAATACAACATATTTGGCAAGTTAATTATAAGATAGGTGGCCAAAAAACTTTCACACCTATCATCTACCAATTGCTAAAATGACCTCCAATCACATTGAAGGTCATTTATGCAAGTAGCCCAAAAGTTGCCATAAAAATCAAAGTTAGTTTTAAGAACGGAAACACTAAGCTTTCTTATCATAGACATCCAGCCTGGTTGCATCTAGCTTATCATGGCCCCTACAACCTGTTTCGTCAAAGAGCTCTGCAGCCATTTTCTCCCTGATTTTTTCGAATGTTTTTATCGCAAAGTTCTGGAGGAAATGGCAAATCCAATGCATGACACTCGATGTACTTCAGGCAGTACACTCCGCAATCACCACTCTGAATGTTTTGAGGTATCTCCGTACATGGTACTCGCGAATGGGTGAACGGCGTGTATCTCCACTTGTCATCGTCAGGTGCACAGGTCTGAAGAAGGTAGGGTATCATAACCGCAAGAGGCTCCACAGCTTCGGCAATTTGTTCGTCAGATGCATATTTGGTTCTCGCATGGCTATCCCATATCGTGATATGCCTCGACACAAATGAGACCCATATAGCTACCCAATGGTCCTCCCTAATGTGCAACATGGAGTACAAATAGTCGACATAATATGCCCACGTCTTCTTAGTCTGGCAGTAGATAGGTAATTCGCCAGTGTAGTACAAATATGCTCCAGGCGGTAGAAGTTTGCCAGACCCATCTGCATTCGGGTCAGAGGTTTTGAAGTCTTTGTAGTCACACCTCCAAACAGTATCAAACATGGAGTTGAGAAACAAATCCGGTCGGATACAAACCACTCTGGATGCTTGGATAATCGCAGCCTGAGTAGGTTAATGTAAGCTTCCATGTGCTGCACATTGGTGAAAATAAGACATGAGTGAAGTCTGCAAACGAAGTCTAAATTATGCAAAGGAAGTCTATTATAGAAGTCTACGTATGAAGTCTAAACATGAAGTCTAATATGAGAAAGTAAAACACTAACCGTATCAGCTAGCCATTTCGTCGGTGTCTGGAGAATGTAATACCACTCGATCGAAGAGTGTCTTGAGCGTTTTGGATAGGCACTGTATAAGTGAAAAAGTTAGATAGGAAATAATACTATGAGGAAGTCTACTTACATACGTATAGAAGTCTACTTACGGGTTTGATTTGATAAAGTTCATTAGAGTGATATGCTTCGCCTTGACACCGGTTTGATCAAAAGGATCATATCCACGGACACGGCCGGAGTGAGATGCCGACGATGGAATGATGGCCTTTGCGGTGTTGTTTCCTAAGAACGAACTCTTCTGTGTCGCAGCCAGCTGGCGGTGTCTCGCACTCGTTGCTCGGGCAACTATCTGAGCCGCTTCTCTGGCTTTGGCATTTTTGGCTAGTGCAACCGCGTCGAAGTCAACATCACACGTCTTTGGGTCAATTTCACAAAAACTAGGCTTTGGGGCATCTTCTTCCTTCATCTCTGGGGCCTCTTCTTCCTTCACGGCAGCCTTCTTTCCTTTTGCATCCCCGGGGGCGTTAACACTCTCACACGCACCAACGTTGACATTATCTTTCATCGGAGCATCATCTTTATCTGAATTACTCTGCAGTTTATTTTCAGAAACAGGCATGAATATACAAATGAGTACACCAATGCTATAATTTAGTAACATGTTTTATCATAGTCTGAAAATTGTAAACAACTAGTTTTGAAAACATAAGTAAATAATCTCACATGGTACATCACACTAGTAAACATGTTCGAATTCAAATGACATTAGTATTAAGTGTCCCTAACTTTGTGTGATCTTGTTTGCATGTAATGTTTTCGTATAGGCGGAGGGTTTTTGGTACTAACCCCTTCATGCTTCTTGGATCCAGTGCTGGCTGCTGGGTTGGCTCTACATTGTATTTAACCTCTTCCTCAGTGTGCTTCGCCGACCCTGTAGTCAACTCTTCTACCGCATGCTCTACAGATTCAACCTTCTCGGTGAGACGTTTGATATGCTTTTCACAGCTACCAAGACCATTCAGCATCTTGATTGAAAAGCTTTTGAAGCATAGGTCGAAGTGCGCTTTCATAGTAGCGAGAACTCCGACCCCTTCATCACCAACGAATGATGCGGCAGAAGTAGAGGCTGTGCAGGATCTCTTGCGACTTGATTCATCTGAGGGAAGGCTCCTCTTTCCGGCTTCTGCCTTGACGATGTGTGCACCCAAAACACCTTCCAAAGGCCAATGGTTTTTTGAGAACTTGAAATTGGGGTGATGGAGTGCATTGACAATCTTGACAATATCTGGATCCTGTTTGTCATCATCCCACACGGGAAACATATCTGCCAAGTCCTTAGCCACGCAGCACTGTATGCAAGCTTGGAAAAACACAATAAGTAAATGGATTACTAGCCATATGACGCCTCGGAAAACTACGTATGAAGTCTACTCCTGAAGTCTAACATAGTAGTCTACTCCTGAATGTCTCACACTATTAATGGTACATATAGAAGTCTACACATGAAGTCTACTTCTGAAGTCTACTTTGAAAATTCATTACTACATAGAAGTCTACTACACTAATACAGTACCTGTTTTAGCATGTTGGCTTTGACGTTCTTTCGTCCTCTTGATCCTTTGTAAGCCAGCAAAAGAGGTTCTTTAGTAACATTTGGCAATGGTTCGCCAAATTCAGCAGCAAAATCCGGTAGAGCATAGTACACCCACACTTGAAGAGCTTGCACAAATCCTTCTATATGAATGTTTTTGCTGAGATCTTTCTCCTTAACAGACTTGATCAAATGCTGAAAAGCAATTCTTCCCCATGGAAACTCCTTAAAACCTTCGAGATCCATCACTAGTCTGGCATGGTTGACATTTTGGATGAGCCAGGTCTCGTTGCCACTATGAAACCAGCGTAGATCCCAAGATAGCCCAACCGCAGCCTATCATCCTGAGACCATGATGAGCAGTTGGAACAGGCTTCGATAATTTCGGTAGTGCTTGGGCCCGACTCGGCATCGACCCCCATTAGCTCCCAAAATGCACGCATGTCATCGACAAGTGCAAGATCAGTTAAAGCCAAGTCACCCACGTACCCGCAGTTGAGTCCGGTGATCTCCTCAAACTCATGCAATGAAAACCGAACTGGAGTGGTACCAATCAGGCTCCATATCTCGTACCTCTGCTTGCAAACTATCTGAAAGGTCAGCATGTGGTGCACCAAAATCCAAGTCGTGGAACTTTAAAAAGACACCCAACGGTGACTCGTAAATCTCTTCCCATTCATCCTCTTGTAGAGCTGACTTTAGTGCAGGGACCAGCCTATAATCATCAGCATAATAGCTGATGCTTTTATCTGGGGCTGGCTCAAACCCCTTGGTGTACAGTCTTCTAGGGAATTCAGAGGCCACCATTATCTAACACAGATTTCTGCATCAACGGTAACAAAGCTCTAATGAGAAAAACTAGTAACGGTTTGAAACTATACACGAATGAAGTCTACATTTTCAAAATGAAGTCTACTTTATCAAAATGAAGTCTACTTTATCAAAATGAAGTCTACTTTATCAAAATGAAGTCTACTTTCACAAAATGAAGTCTACTTTCACAAAATGAAGTCTACTTTCACAAAATGAAGTCTACTTTCACAAAATGAAGTCTACTTTCACATTCTAAGTACAATTCGAGTCAAGAAGTTTACTGAAGCCAACCGAAGCAATCTTAACATCAAAAAAACAGTATATTAAGTCAACGGAATCCACATGAAGCAATCAAAACATCATAAATACTGCATATGCAGTCTACAGAACCCAACCGAAGCAATCAATACATGATAAATGCGGTATATGAAGTCTACTAAAACAAATCATCGAAATGGAATCTACAAAGTTTATAGTGGGAAAAAACCTAAGTCAAACCCGACGGAAAAAATTACAAGGAAGATAGAAGAAATTTAAGAATTGCTAAGTATATAACTTCGGAACAACATCTGCTAACCGTTTTGAGGCAGGAAATGACGTTAACCTCCAACGGCGAAAGCAGATCTGCAAAAAAAAAAAAAACCCCTAATTTCAGATCTGGAAACTGGGGGTTACGAAAACGGAAAGGTGATGAATACGGAGGAGTAGGGAAGCATGGGGGTGTGGTTGAGGAAAGAAAACTTGCATGAACGAGTTTATCGGCGGCGGTTCTGTATGTCGGCGGCGCCGGAGCAGAGAAACAGAAATCGCCTTCGACTTTTTTTTTTTACACGAACTTTCGACGGTTTTTTTTTAACGGGATCTGTAAAATTTGTATATATACTCTGGTAATTCTGTACGGTTCGGGTAAGTTTTTTTCGGTTAAGGTTACTAATTTTCCGGGGTCTAGGTAAATTTACCCGGTTACAGGCAGTTTCTTTTGGTTAAGGGAAGTTATTCTCGGTTTGATTTCGGTTTAAATTTCGGTTAGGTTAATTTATTCGGTTTAGTAGACTTCAATATAGAAATCTACAACTTTTAAAACCTAAATTATAAATTTACTTCTACTTAATTTAAAAACATACATTACCATTTACCAATATGAAAAAAAATAATTTCTGTACATTTGGGTTACGATTACGGAATTTATGAATGTAAATTTGATACCAAAATAATTTTTTAAAAATTTTAAAATTAAATTTACAGATTTAATTACTTAATAGACTTCATTTCACTTTAGTAGACTTCGTCAGGGTGTAAACGGTAATTAGGACATCTGTTTTTTGTTTACTCAAATACGATTAAATGGTCTTTTCACTACCCTTTTAGGTTATTTCTGCCTAATATTTTTTCCGGGATCTACTTTTGTATTCAAAGTCAAGTTTTGGGTTATTTTTAGCAAAAACCTCATATCTTTAATCCCTGACTGTTTAATAGATGTATCCTTGCTATTAAAGAAAAAGAGGTTGTCTAAAATTAGATTGTTATCATAGCTTTAAGGAATCAATACATTTTGCTTATTTGGTTAATCAATACACAATCACAATCTATAAATTCATAAGACTGATTGTTTATATAGATCAGATTTTAACAATTTATTCTTGATTTGTTTTCCTTTCCACTTATGATATTAACTATCATTTTCTATAGTTTCATACAGAATATTGGAAATATATTTTTTTCTTTGAACTCGCAATTTCTATAATTGTTTTTAATTCAATTTTTTTTGGTTTTCAAACAGTTTTTGTTTTTGTTTTTTTTCCTTTTATTATTAATATTATGTCAAAATCTAATTAAAAGTTCTATCGTGATCATACGAATTACTAACTTTGAAACATTTTACTATATATATATATATATATATATATATATATATACTAGATAAGTACCCGCATATATACAAATTCTTAATTTCATATTTTATAATGCGTAAAAAATAAAAATAAAAATAAAAAATGACATCACTAGTAAAAATATATAGTACTTAAATTTAACAATAAAAATATCAATGATCATAAAATATTTACACACAAAATAATAGGAATACAATAATCAAAACATAACTACATTAATATAACAATAACCACTTTATAAATTAACATAATTTTCATAGTCTAGATAAGTATCTGCATATATGGAGATTTATAAATTGATATATTATAATTCGTGAAAATAAAAAAAATTATTAAAAAACCAAAAATGAGACCACCCATAAAATATGTTATACACAAGTTTAAAAATAAAATTATCAACAATCATAATATATTAAGATTTTTTTGGTTGCGAATCTGTAATCTATTAATTTTTTATGCTTAACTGAAATATAGTTTTTAAAAAAAATATAAAATGTCATTTTTCTTTCTTTTTTATTAATCTAAAAAATTTTTTATTTTTACTTTTTATTATTAGAAACTAATTATAAAATTAATTTTTAATAAAATTTATTGAAATATAATTAGAATTTATCAAACGCATATAATTTTTTTATATTAATACATGTCACGATCTAATAAATTACTAACTTTAAATCTTTGTCCTTTTATATGATTAGAAACGAACTATAAACTTTCATTTTTAATAAGATTTGGTAAAATTATAATTAAAAATTCATTAAACACATGTCAAAATCTTATCGATTTATTTAACACATATCAACAATGTGGTGAATTTCTAACTTTGAATATTCTACTTATTAATTTATATAATATTATATATATCTATATATATATTTATAAATGTTTATTCATGATTTGTGGAAACATATTGGTAAGAAAATTTTCAAACCGAATAAACAAAAAGAAAAACCGATAATTCCGACCAGAACCGACCACAGAACCGTAAGCGCACAGCTTTACTACATTTGGGAAGTGTGTGTGTGTGAGAGAGAGAGGAAGGAGGAGCCAAAAAAATAGGAGTGAATTTCAAATTGGCGCTCAAGCTTTTAACGTATCTTCCCAAAAAAATTCCCCCCAAATTTTTCGAATCTATTTTTTCTTAAATCCCTCCAAAATCCCCCACAAATTTCTCATCCCATCGATTTCTTCAAACATGTCAGATCTGCCGCCGGAAAAATCGAAAATGGCTCTTTCTTCGTCTTCTTCCGTGCCGGAATCTTCTTCCTCTCTACACCATTCCTACAGTCGGAAGCAGAAGTCTCTCGGCCTTCTTTGTACCAAGTCAGTACCTTTTTTTCTCTGTAATCCATCCTCGCTCTGGTAAAATTTTGATCTTTTTCTTAAAGTTTGCTTCTTCTTCTTCTCAGTTTCTTAGCTCTATACAATCGAGATGGAATCGAAATGATTGGGCTTGATGACGCCGCCACAAAATTAGGTTTTTTTTCTCTTACCCAAAACCCAGTTTCCGATGTTTGTATGTAATTTCCACTTGAATCTGAAGTTGTCCGAATTTGATTGGAGTTTGGCTTTTTTTTTTCTTTTTCCCAGGTGTCGAGAGGCGGAGAATCTATGATATTGTTAATGTGCTGGAGAGTGTCGGGGTGAGATTTGCTCTTGTTATTGCAGATGTTATTAAAACCTGTTCTGTAATGTTTGCTTAGAAACGAGTCTTGTCTTAATTTTAGGTTTTAACAAGAAGAGCCAAAAACCAGTATACGTGGAAAGGATTCGCCGCTATTCCAGCAGCGTTAAAGGAGCTACAAGTGAGTTTCTTTTTTATTCGTTCTTGAATTTCAAATCTCATTTCTTTTGCAAGATGTAGCGATTTTGATTTGCAAATTCTCATAGGTAGTGTTCATGATGCAGGAAGAGGGAGCTAAGGACACTTTTCACCGTTTCTATACCAACGAGAATGTCAAAGTAGGTGACTTGGATGGGTTTTGTTGTCTCTAATTAAGCCTTGATTTGTTGTCTTGATGCTTGTTATGCTTAAAGTCTACTAAATTTCAGGTATCTGATGATGAGGATGATGATGAAGAGTCTTCTCAGCCTCATTCTAGTAGCCAGGCTGATAGTTCAAAACCTGGCTCTCTTCCCCAATCTTCAGATTCTTCAAAAATAGGTACTTTGTGTGTGTGTGTGTGTGTGTGTTTGAGTGTAAATCCATTACACAGTAGATTCAGTAATGTACCAAGTTCTAGATAAAAATGAACCATCTTGTCAGTTATATAAGGAGCACTGGACATTTCGTTGATTCATGAGATATTGAGAGATGGGATTCATGAGATATTGAGATATAATGTGGAATCTCTGACATTTCGTTGGTTGGTTATGTGTGACAGATAATCGACGAGAGAAATCTTTAGGATTGCTTACTCAGAACTTTATCAAGCTCTTTGTTTGCTCTGAAGTAAGTGAGAAGTTGAAAACGATTTTTTTTTTTTACAAACTGAGTTTTTCACCAAGTTGCTAAAGATTTTTTTGTTCAATGTGCTATAA